GGGCCCCTCCCCTAACATTAGTGATCACAGACTATCCCTGAAGGCAACTCCAGCCCCCGCTGTCATGGAAAAGCAACCTAGGGATGCCCTGAATGTTTCCCCAGCTACATCGAATGCAACCCAACAGCTGGAAATGAAGAGAACCAGCCCCATGGCTCAGACCCTCCAAGGTGCCAAATTCCCATAGGGAATTTGAGGCCTAAATACTCTTGAGGATCTGGTCCCATGTAGCCAGCATCAAGTGCTCTGCAGATAAGTTTGGGACCCGCTGCCACTTTAGACAGCGAGCGGTGGGGAAACAAAACATCTTCCCTCTCCAACATTGATGGAGAGGGACAAGCACATGCAACCTTAATTTGGGGATTTGCTGACTTTGGAGTGTTTGGCTTTGCAAACTTCATGTAGCTTTTTGGGTGTAATTAAATCTAGGACTGTGTGCAGGGAATGGGGTGCAGCTGCTCCCCTGAATCCTCCCATCTGTCTGCTCTCCCCATTCCCTAACCAAATCGCTTCTATCCTTGACACACAGCGGACAGGAGCTCTGTTAGCTGCTCACATATGAGGACAAAAACCAGACTGTGTGCTCTGCCCCCACAGTTGGGGCCAGATATTCAGAAGGGCTCAGCACCCAATGCTCAGAGCCATTCTGAAAACCCAACCTCTTCTCTGGGTGCCTTAAACAGGAGCTAAGCTATTTGGGAAACGCTAGTCCAAGGGGCTGGTGGGGAGATGGGCCAGGAACAGGTCAGGGAGGGGGATCAGCTGGGAACATGATGCCACGGAAAGGGGGGTGGAGATGGATGTAGGAGGGTTAGGATCCTTGCAGATGGGGAGCTGCGAGACCGCAACGCTCCAGAGCCGGGAGTGGTTGAAGGGAGGTTTTGCCTTTGCCATCAATGAAGGTTTCCTTGGCAGCATTTCGATCCCTGGGATTCATGTCAGTAATACCCAGTGGCTCATTTGGAAGACGAGTGGGAGCCCAAGGGAGAGCTGAGGAGTGAGAGGGATGGAGATGGAGCTGATGACAGGGACGCAGCTTATGGGCGGCTCTGGGCCGGCAGGAGGGCATTGTGGCCCCTCCGATATGGGTGAGCATTTTTTGGTGGGGTTGGCCCTCAAAGGGACCTTGGGCAGATGCCTGTAGCCCATCTCTAGAGGTTAGAGGGCTTGATGGCTCAGTGGGTCAAGGCCGCTCATTGGTAGAGGAATGCTGATGGGGTGGCCCGAAGGGTTTCATCAGCTGGAAGAGAGATAGGGAAGGGTTTTGGTACATGGGGGGCAGAGGGGTTCCTTGGGGGCTGTTGGGGAGGTAATGGGGGGGCTTTTGGCAGCTGCGGGGGGGGTTTATGGTGGCTAGTGGGGTGCTGGGAGGGGGATAATGGGTTCATGGGAGCCTATTGTTGGGGGGGCTGTAGGCTGCTGGGGGTAATGGAGTGGGATTTGATGGTGGGGTGGGGGTACTGAAGCGTGGGGTTCTGGTGCACTTTTTGGGTGGGGAGGTGCCGGGAGGCATTGCAGGAGGTCCCTGGAGGGCTCGTGGGGAGGGGTCGGGGAAGGGGGTAGTGAGGAAGCTGCCCCCTGCCTCTCCAGCTCCATAGCTCCCATGATGATGGGCTGTCCCCGGGGAGCTTTCAGCTGCTGCTGGTTTCTTCCGCCATGACAGAATTGGCCAAACACCAAACGGCCCTGAGCGGGTGCAAGGTGCAGCTGGACCCATGACTGTGGTGAGCTCAGACTCCTAGAGTGGGGGGCGTCCCCCCTTCCCCTCTGCCAGCACCCTAACTGCTCTGTGTTAGGGTGTGGGGCCTGCCTAGGGCGGGACGCAGAGCCTGCTCGGACCCCGCCACAGAGGAGCTGGCTCTGTGGGTGGCACACACTGTCATCTGCTGCGGAGCTGGGATGGGAGAGCAAGGAATTGGGCCGTGGGGAGCCGGCGTTGTATGGGAGGGAAATGGATGGCCTGACTTGGTACCAAGTACAAGGCAAGGGAACCAGCAGCTTCTTATTTAGCCTCCCAGACATTTGTTCCTCTCTCTGTGTTTGTGTTTAACCCTTCTGGTGCCAGGATGCTCAGAGTGAGTGAGTGGGGTAAGAGAGGTGCAGATTAACACGGGATCCTTTCAGATCTCTGCATTTGGTGGTGGTGGTGGGGGGGGTTGGAATGTGGAACCAAGGGCTGGTCTGTCCTGTGTGAAATGGGGTCATCTGGATGATTGGCGGGGCGGGAGAGGGAAGGTTAGTCCAGACTGGAAGAGAGATTCTGTCCCTGGTGGTGGGAGGGGGGGATGTTTGAGAGGTGTGGGGGGGCTGGCTTGACTTACTGGTGAAGGGCCCCTTTTTTGTCTCCCTTCATGGGAAGAAGGGGATCCCCAATGGCTGGGTTCAAGGTGAGAATGGGCGTGTCTCCAAACTGAACTCGGAAGGGAAGTAGAGAATAACCTACAACTGGTGGCTACCTAGGGCTGCATTCGTTAACATGGCATTACCAAATCTTGTGACGTTTAGTGTGTGTCGTAAAGCCTCAGCTTCTGGAGTCCTGTGATGTTAGTAGAATCTCAGCTTTCATTTACAAAAACTAGTAGTTTCTCTGCAACCACAGGGGCCAGAGACATTTAGAGACATGACTCATGTGTCCCCTGATCGCTCAGAAACCAGAAGGCAAAGGAAAAATGCAGAATATTTTTTTTAAAATCTCATGACTTTTAAACTAATCTCATGGTTTTTGAGAGACCTGATGGATTTTTTTTTGTTTTTAATGCTTGGGGTTGTAGACACTGTTTCCATGGCCCCAGGAAAGAATAAAGTTAGCAGACCTGAGATTAAGACAGGTTTTGGGCAAGCAGCCCTAGAGCACTGAGGAATGGGAGAGAGAAATAGAGAAGGGCTGTGCTGTTTTACTTCCCAAAGTGCAGCCTTTTCATCATAACACTGAATCAATAAGAAACATAATTACTTTAACAAAGGAAAATCCATGCTGGCCTTGAGGGTTTGGGCGTGCCCACAGGAGGAGGCGGTTTCATTACAAAGTATTAGGACATGAATATTTTATGCCTGAGAGGATTTTCCTTTTGGGAGATGGTTGTATGAATTATGAAAAAGTTCCAAAAAGAACACAAGCCATTATTTCTGCTGGGCTGTTTCCCCCTGTGCTCCCAAGGCTGTCTCCTCTCTCTCATCACTGGTGCCTTTCAGGAGCACTGGCGAGGATCGGGGTGGGGGTGGGGACGACTGTGGTTGAAGAACTGGATTTGGAACTGTAGAGACCTGGGTTTGTTTCCTTGCTCTGTCAGACTCCCTTGGTAGACCCAGGATGAGTCATTTTAAGGGTTGTCTATGGTACAGGGACTATACCTACGGCGCCAGAGCTATGCTGCCATAAGGTCTTAGCATAGACGCCGTCTGCAATGACTGAAAGGGTTTTCCTGTCACTGTAAGAACTCTGCTCCCTGAGCACCAGTTGCTACGTCACTGGAAGCGTTCTGCTGTGGACCTACCTGCGTCTCTAGCAGGGGTTAGGTCGGCTTAGTTATAGCACTGTGGGGTGTGTGAATTTTTCACACCCCTGAGTGCTGCAGCTGTGTCGAATTACATTCCAAGTGTAGACCAGGCTTTAGACTCTGTGCCTCAATTCCCCATCTGTAAAAGCAGGCTAAATTGTAAACTCAGGGCCCATTTCACTCTGACTGTATAGCCCCTAATCCTGTGGGCCCTAGTCTCCGTTGTGGCCTCTAGAGGCTTCTGAAATAGTCAATACCTCTGGTATTTTCTGCACATCTTGCAGCAGTGTTCAGGTAGCCAGCCAGCATAGGCAGTTACTCCAACCCTCAAGTGTATAACTTTGTCAGGAGGACTCGAAGGCAGGCCCTTTGATGCCAAAGAAGAGCTGCTCTTGTGTGTTACCTCCACCAGCTAGTGGACAGAATGCTGAATGAGCCCGTCTTTTCGCAGAGGCTTGAGGAAGAGGAGTCCATAGTGTCATAACCTGTTGAATATAAAAAGCACCATAGAAAGGTAGGCCTGGAAGGGACCTCAAGAGGGCATCCCATCCAGCCTTCTGTGCTGAGGTAGGACCTAATACACCTAGACCATCCCTGACAGGCATTTGTCCAATTAACAGGGATCCCAGCTTGTTCCAGAGCTGAGCTAGCCTTCTAGTTAGTCTTCCCCCGCCCCCACATCTAACCTATATCTCCCTTGCTGCAGAGTAAACCCATGACTTCTTGTGGCCCTCATCACCATAGTATCTAAGCACCTTCATTTATCCTCACACCACCCTGTGAGGCAGGGCAGGGCTGTTGTCCCCACTGGCTCAGTTCCCATCTATACACAGGGGCTTAGTGCATCTTCACCAGGAAAAAAGCTGGGTTCTGACCTTAGGCTGGCTCATGTGAGGTAAAAGCCTAATGAAGACTAAGCAGGCTGTAGCTTTCACCCAAGTTAGCAGGTCCCATTAAAGATCAAGGGGGAGCCTAGGTCCCATACCTATCCCTCAACCTGCTAACTCATGTGAAAACTACACACTACCTGGGCTTTGCTAGGATTTTTACCTCATGGTGGCTACCATGTTTTAGTGAACCCGAGTTAAAACACATGCTTGCCCCCCCTAAGACAAGACTTTCAAGAGGCTGTAAAGTGACTTGCCTGAGGGCATGCAGGGATTCTTACAAGGCAGGGAATTGAACCAGGCCTCCTGAGTTTGAGGCTAATAGCCTACCCACTACACCTACCTCCTTTGTAAACTGGACTGGCCAGGTGCAGCAGTCTGAGCGGATTAACCCACACAGGTTTTGCTTTGGCTAATGTGTAAAGATTTTTCTCTAATCATCCTATCAGGAGCTGAGGGACCATGTGCTGTCTGGCCGTCACTGTTAATTTTACTACCAAATGCTGCTGCTGCGTTTTTAGTTTTTTTTTAAACTGCTACCGAATGATTGCTACGGGTGGAAACAGCCCCCACACATCAAATGGAAACCCTAATGATGTGTCTGTTCTCTCTCCAGAAATCTTCCGAGCCGGAGTTTGAGGACACGAGCGCATTTCTGGAGTATTGCACATCCGCGGGACAAGGGGAAGCTTCTTTGCTTTCTTTTAAAAAAGAGACCCAACACTGTGCAGCATACTAGGCAGGGTTGCAGGGCAGCACCCACAGGAGAAATCCAGCTGAAGATGCTGTTTTCCTCTCGTGGATCTTCCATGCCTCCAGCTTCCACTCCACCCAAGATAATTCATCACCCTGCTGATTATTTTATGATGCATGACAGTTTGTGCCTGGAGCTTCCATATTGGCTCAAATCTGCTAGGCACTATTCAGACACATGAGTCTGTGCCCTGAAGAGTTTACAGTCTGAATGGACAAAGGGATTATCATTAGCCCCGTTTTACAGATGTGGAAACTGAGGCATGGTGTGATGAAGTGACTTGGCCAAGGTCAATCTGTGGTGTAGCCCAGAGTGGAATCCACTTCTCTTGAGTCCTGGTCCCCATCCTTCCTCCTACTGCTGAGGGGAAAACTTTAAACGATACCTAGTGGGCCTGGCGTGCTGGAAACAAATTTCCCAGTGAAAAGATAAATTCGAGGGGATGCCCGAGATGCCTTCCGCGTGTGCTGCCACTGCCTGTTCTGTGTAGCCAGGTCACTCCTAATGGCTGCCCCCTGCGGGTACAAAAGCCTGTTCCTTTTTTAGGCATCTGAAGGAGTTTTAGCGGTGCTGAAGGAGCTAGGTCCGAGCCACACTAACCACCGTGATCGCTGTACCACTCCAGCAATGGCTCGTTGCACATTGTGTCTTAAAACGGGGTCTCCAGGGCTCCCCTTGTTGTTTTGTATCTCAGATGCATAAGGGCAGCGCACACAGACTAATGTTCTAGCAGGCCAGCATTCAGGCTGTAAAACGGATTGCTTCTATGCACTGCTTTCTTGGTAATCTGCAAGACCAGAAATGGAAATGGAGACTGGACTAAACTCAGGCCTGGTGTAAGGAAGCACAGTGGAGTTGCACCCACTTACGTTAGGCCCGGAAAGCATATTCGACTTGGGGGTGGGATAAAATCTTATAGGCCAGATTTATATCTGGTGTAATTTTTGTGCACGAGTGAATTTTGCCCTTGCGTGCAGAGGTGTCACTTTAAAGCGTGTGTCGAGCCCCCTGTCATTCTGCCGGCGCTGGGCTGTGTGGTGCATGCTGTGTGGAAGCCCTTTTAAAGCATAAGGTAGGAGTTGTAAGCTCCCACTTGGGGCTCCTGCAGCCGTGTCCATGAGATGACTTTTTTTTAAAAAATAGGCAGGGAATAACGGCCCCCTCCAGTCATCACCCTGGGCCTGCTTTTAAATTGAGATGAAAATGGGTTTTGCTTTACGCAATAGTTAGCCTAAAACAAATGGCAGCTCTCATGATATTCGCCTGGCCAACGTTCTGTGCTTATTAGCCAGCTCTGTCACTTGGTCACTGGAAGGAATCCCTCCGGGGCTTGATACTCACTGGCTTCATGTTATTACTGTAACCGCATGGCTGCTGCTCCAGCTCCCAGCCAAAGGGAGAAGAGAACAGAGATGTTTCTAAACTCGGCTTTGGCTTAGTTCATTTTTTTTTTTAATTCCGTTTCCTGCGTGACCTTGGGCGAGCCACTTAGATTCCCCGAGACTCAGCTCCTCACCTGTTACACAGGGATCCAAAGGCTTCCTCGTCTGGTCTACCTGTATCGCAAGCTCTTCGAGTCGCTTACCATGTGCCTGGACAGCACCTAGCCCCATGGGGTCCTGGTCTCCAGTTAGCTGCTGAGATGCAAGCAACTGCGGGCTTCCATGCATCATCTGACCTTTCACCCCCACGCTTGTGCCTTTGGTGAGGTGCGTGAATCCCACGGGGGATCTGTAATGGGGGAAGACATCGCTGTGTCACTGCTGTGGATATGAGGTGACTGGGGAGGGGGGTTGCTCTCTTTTTAAGCCAGTGGCAGAGGGGTCAGGTTAGCCCCAGGGTTCAGTCACAATCTGCTGAGCCATTCATTTCTAGATCTGTGTGGTTCAGATCCCAGTTCAAGAGCCATGGGAAGCTGTTTTTGGTTGGAGTCTGCTGAGTGTACATGTGTCACTCCAGGCCTTGGTGGCAAGGGTCCCCATTGTGGTCTGGTCCCAGTGGCTGGCCCTTTCAGTAGAAGACAATTGGCAATTAATTGATCTTTGACTATTAGCGGTAAATATGCCCAATGGCCTGGGATGTTCGATGGGGTGGGATCTGAGTTACTACAGAGAATTCTTTCCTGGGTGTCTGGCTGGTGAGTCTTGCCCACATGCTCAGGGTTTAGCTGATCACCATATTTGGGGTCGGGAAGGAATTTTCCTCCAGGGCAGATTGGCAGAGGCCCTGGGGTTTTTTTGCCTTCCTCTGCAGTGTGGGGCACGGGTCACTTGCTGGAGGATTCTCTGCACCTTGAAGTCTTTAAACCATGATTTGAGGACTTCAATAGCTCAGACATAGGTTAGGGGTTTATTACAGGAGTGGGTGGATGAGATTCTGTGGCCTGTGTCGTGCAGGAGGTCGGAGTAGATGATCATAATGATCCCTTCTGACCTTAAAGTCTGAGTAAGACTGAATGGGACACAGACTGAACCCCTCTGTCTCAGATGCAGTCCCACTGTCGGGGCTGGGGCATACTGGCAGGGAAGTGTGGGGGAAGGGTAGATAATTGCACTCCTCAGGGCTATCAATCACACACTTGATGCCAGCACATCCTTGGTGAGCAAAGGGGTGATCAGACCACCCCTCCCCCGCCAGCCTGTGTAAATGGGCACACAGCCCTTCTAAAGTATTTGCAAAGCCTCCCACATGGCTCTGGGCTGAGACTCATCTGCCCTCGTTTGAATGTGACCAAGTAATCCGCAGCGAAGTTGGGAATTGTTCTAATTGCTGAGTGTGTGCTTTCCCGCTGAGACGTGCTCGCCTTCCTCCAGCTCTCTCTGGCTGTGATGGTTAATTAGCATAAGTTTTAAAATAATCTCCTCTGATCTCATGGCCTCAGTTTGTTAGTGTTGTAAAGAGACCATGACAAGCGCTAATAGAATCCCCCCTTCCTGCAAATTCCATATGAGGCTCCCCCATCCGCCTTTGCTGGTTGAGAGGCGTATGCAGAATGATCTGACTCTTCCCTGTCTAGTGTAGTGCAGAAATCGCCAAAGTTTCCTCTCTTCTAGCTTTGCATGTAGGGTTTGGAGGGAAAGAGGCACTGGTCTCTCTCTCGGAGATTGGTCAGCTGCTGGGCTTCACCCATTCACGGATTGCACCAAGAGAGCCTCCTTCATTGTATGGGTGAAATCCACTCAAGTCCTATCTTAAGTGGTGCATGGGCCTTTGCAGTGTTGTAGGCTCTAATCAGGGATCCAGGCCGCAAGGTGCTGTACGTACGCTTGGGATGTGAAGATTCCACACCCCCAAGGAGCTTGTGATCTCAGGGCCAGATGCTGCTTGCGTGGCCTTTCTGCTGGGGGTGAATTTCACCCTCTGACTTGCTCAATCTACTGCAGAGGGTTTTGCTGGCTAACTCGTGGATTTCCCTGTTTCCACCTAACAATTTGATCTCTGCTTGTCCTTTACTCAGTGACTTGACTTGTCTCTGTCTGCCGATTTGCAAAGAGGAGGGGAGACTGGTCCAAGTAGGAACAAAAATCCACACAGGGCTCCTTTCCACCCATCAAGGCTTCACCCCAGAGTCCATTTCAGGATGATCCCTAGAGATTCAGTCCCAGTTCTCCCTTGCATCCTCAGCAGTTCAGTCTCATTATGAGGCAAAGGTGATGTGCTGGTGGCTTGGGGTGTATGTTAAGATTTCCCAGCAAAATCCTGCAGCTCTAGAAATGTATTTGGTACAGAGAGAGGCTGCTGGACAAGGGCCAAGCAGCTCAGAGGCAGGGATGGCACCCTTAGCTCACCCTTCTCCTTGAGGTCCCCAACACCCCCAAAGGTATGAGTTAAGGATGGATCTGTTCTGCAGCTGGATGATCTGCAGTCAGGTGACCTGCACCCTTGGCTGTGCATTTCCTGCTGGCTGTTCAAACACTTCATTACTAAATCTATGCACACTTAATGCTGGGGAAAGCTTCTGGACTGACAGCCCTGGAGCCTGAACTATTCGCTCACAGAACAGGGACAACCTAGGTGCCAGCAGGACAACCTGCCCTGCACAATTCCCTGCTGATGTCCCTCAATGCAAACTCTTTGGATGAGTCTCAATGGCCCATGCAGTCCTTCCAGTTTTAGGTCTTGATCCTGCAAGAATGTACCCACTCAAGTACTTAAAGTAAAACCCTTTGCTGGATGGGGGCGGAGTACTCTGAACCTTGCAGGGTTGAGCCCTATGCAAATTCTTATCCTGCACTCATCACTGTGTCACCTTCCAGAAGTGCATTGGGTACCATGGATAGCATCTCTGGTTATTTGGCCTTTCTGCTAAGAGCAGCAACTGGCCCTCTTTGCTGGCTAACGGGTGTGTTTTTTTTCTTCACTGAAGAGACTAGCAAAGTCTCAGGCCAGATCCTCAGCGGGTGTGAATCAGCATAAATGGGCATCAGTGGAGATGAGCTGGCTTCTCCGAGCTGGGGGTCTGGCCCCTTGCTATTCTTAAACATCCTTGTTGGGCCCCTAAATGTACAACTTACACAGGATTCATGAATGACTTCCCAGGTACAGACCATGGGCAGAGCTGGCTTTTTTAATAGAACAGGTTCCATGAATTCTCCGCCTTTGGTGTCTAATTTCAGAACTAGGCCATGGATTCTCCTGAGCCCTATCAAAAATGTGCTAAGACTGCACAATGGGAGGTATTTCAGACTTAACACTGTGTCTCAGCTTTTCTTGTTTCTTTGTTGTTTAGACCAAAAAAAAAAAATGGAGTAATCGCTTACTCAAAATAGCCTCTTTCTTTCAAACCATGTCATTGGTTTTGAACCATGTAAGCATCTGCCCTCCAGAGGGGAAAAAAGCTTTTAAAAACCAATTCATGTGACAAATTTAGTGACTCTAAGCCTACAGTAGAACCTTAGAGTTACGAACACTGGAGTTACGAACTCACCAGTCAACCACACACCTCATTTGGAGACAGAAGTATGCAATCATGCAGCTGCAGAGATAAAAAAAAAAGCAAATACAGTGCAGTACTGTGTTAAACTATTAAATATAAAGAGAAAGTTTAAAGATTTGACAAGGTAAGGAAACCGTGCTTGTTTTGTTTAAATTAAGATGGTTAAAAGAAGCATTTTTCTTCTACATAGTGAAGTTTCAAAGCTGTATTAAGTCAATGTTGAATTGTAAACTTTTGAAAGAACCAAAACATTTTGTTCAGAGTTATGACCATTTCAGAGTAACGAACAACCTCCGTCCGTTCTCGAGGTGTTTGTAACTCTGAGGTTCTATTGTAGTAGCAACAAATGTTAATGGGGAGGAAGAGACTTTCAAACATATTGATACAGAGGTGATATAATGTGCTTAGATGTTCTTTATTAATTGCAGCAGTGACTGGGAGCCCTAGTCATGGACCCAGGGCCCATTGTGTTCAGAGCTGTATGGACACAGAACAAAAGATGGCCCTGCCCCTAAAGATCCAACAGTCCAAGTAATACCAGGGTTAGAGCAGGTTGGGAACTTTCAAAGGGAAAGCTTTTTCCACCAGAAAATGTCAATTTGTCAAAACTGAAACGGTTGGCGAAAACAGGTTGGTTTAGACAAATCTGATTTGAAACCATTTTGAAATGTCCAGTTTTGATATTTTGAAAATGAAAAGCTTAATATTTCAATCTGAAGTGATTTTTTGGGGTTTGAGAGTTTTAGTTCAGCTATATTAATTTTTTAAAAAAAGTAAATAAAGCTCCTAAACAGAAATTCAGCATATTGAAATGTTTTGCCTGACCTAATCCAAATTGTTTTTGGGTTTCTTGGTTCACAGGTTTTTTCCCAAGATTTGATGTTTTGTTCTGATTTGAGAATGAAATGTCAACCTCTTTTCCTAACTTTTGAGGATGCGACTTCGTGCTCCTCTCTAACTGGGATACTAGGAACCTGGCTGATGGGTGGGTAGGCAGGGCAGAACAAGTGGGTAAATCGAGAAAGAATAAGTTGCAATAAAGCGAAGGGAAACGTAAGTGGAATATCAGGAAAAGCCTCCTAGTGGTGAGCTGTATCAAGGTTTCCGTGAGGTTGCCCATTAAAGTGGTATCTGGGCGCTGTAAGGCTGGAATGATCTCCCCAAGGGACATGGTGGCAGCCCCATGGCTTGGAATGTTTAAAAGTGGCCTGGTAAAAGCATTAAAATATGTAGGGGCTGATGGCAGTGGTGCTGTAGCCATGCTGGTCCTGGGATATCGGAGCGATCGGGTGGGTGAGGTGATATCTTCTATTGGACCAGCGTCTGAAGGTATTGCCTCACTCACTGTCTCTTTAGCGGCTGATTGTCAGTTAAGCTAAAGTCCCCTCTTATGCCTTTCTGGCCACACAAAGGGGCCTTAGAGTGGGTGAAAAGGGCCCTTGAGAATCCTCCCTTGAGCTGGCATAAAGGCTCCCAGCCTCCCCCTGGATTGGGGGCATAGATAGAAAGCCAGAGAGTGTTGCAGTTCTCTGCCTCTCGTGGCACATGGGTTGAGAGGCTGCTCGTAGGGGGAGTGGGGGTGATGGTAGTGAGCAGGGCCAGAATGTGTGGAGTGCAAAGGTGCCTCAAAAAGCCAACTTTGCCTCTTCCTCTGTGTGCCGGGCCCAGGTGCGGGAATGGAGCAAGTGAGAGTCAGGCTCTTAGCGTAGGGACTAATCCTAGATTGGAGGGGTCTCCAGGTCTGACTCTCTGAACTCCTAGGGACCTGGGGTG